ACCGTTAACCTCTGTATACACGGATTCCGGATACTGGTCATCAATTGGCCCGAAAAGCAGTGAACCTAATTTGGCTGATTGTGGATTGGGATGTTTCTGTTTTAACTGCGCCATGACCTCATCTGTTAAAGACAGCACACCACTACTATTTGTTTCACTCAGGAAACGCAGCGCTGAGTTGATTTGGCCTTCCAGTACAAGCTTAGCAAAAACCTTAGATCTATCGGGCGGTTTCGACGCCTTGAGTTTTCCGATACGACCTTGAATAATTCTACCTTCGCGTAATAACTTATTAATTTCACCTTGCCTCCAAAGTATTAGGCGCTATTAATAATTACTAATAATTATTACTATTATTACTATTATTACTATTATTACTATTATAACTATTATTACTATTACTACTATTATTACTATTATTACTATTATTACTATTATTACTATTATTACTATTATTACTATTATTACCATTATTATCATTAATGTTATTATTATTATAATGATGATGCTAATAATGGGAATTTAGCACTGGACATCCACGAGGTGGCCTTTCTTTTCCACTGTTCCCAGGTCGAATGATATTTGCATTGTTGGTTTCTGTGGAGGGAGGAAATCTTTGGAGCAAAGAAGAGAACCAACAACAAACTCAACCCACACGTTGTTTTCCAGGTCTGGGAATCTAACCCGGACCACACTGGTGGGAGGCATTCGCCCTCGCTACCGTACCATCCCCGTTCCGGGTATCAGAATTTTTCTGACAGTTGGTGACTTTTTTTTATCGGATGGTCTCATTTTTCAAAAAAACTCAGCGGCCAAATATGTATAAAATAAAGCCAAGTGGCAGCTGAACAGATCCACGAATCAACTTGAAGAAATAATTTATGTGCTTTCAAAAGTCAGATCAAATTAAATCTGTAAGACCTCCAAATATGGTTAATCAGCTGCAAAATAAGTGGAAAATATATTCATATGGGGGCCAAACGGATGAGCGAAAATTAACTTGAAGACAAGCATCGGGAGGGAGGGAGCGTCTCCAAGTTAAACATTGGTCGAGAATTCGAAATCACTGCCAGTATGACGCTACGCGCGTAATTAGTGATGTCCAATATGGCGAATGAATGAGTAATTCGTTATCTTCCTCGAAATTTGGAATCTTTAACGATTTGGATGGTTTCATTACTTAATCTTGAAATATTTAAGATTCAAGCAATATGTAACAGTTTTTTAAGTAGGTTGAGTGAGGAGAAGCTGTTCAAGAGCTTCATATTTTGGATGACAACATACCACTTTGTGGCTTATTCCTCAGCTAAAAATGTTTGGTTTCTAATGTTTTCCCAGAGCTCTCAGAGTGACTCGAACACGTCCTGATACCAAAATAGGACATTTGACAGGTAGCATATTACTCTTGCTGTTTGAAGAGTTTGAAGCCTTTAGTGCTCATGGTTCGTCTCACCCATCCTTTTTAAGTCCATTGTCGGACCGAAGAGGCGCAAAGAAGAACGATCAACGTAAATGGTTGTAATCAGTGATCATCAGCGGTACGGTTCTCGAACATTTTTTGCAATATTAGCATGAACTCGATATAGATTGGTGTCTGAATAACAAATACCGTCATTCAACACTTTTTGTTGTGAAAATCAACATTGCTTCCAAATTCAGATGTCCTTTTTTCAGTTCAGTTTAGATCTCAATACAGACACTATGTTACTCTTGTCTATTTAACATTGTGCTCTTACAGTATACATGTAGCTTTCAAATCTGCAGGTGAACCCTAATAACACAGGCTATTGTTAAAGTCTTAACCCTTTAACTCCCAAGATCTCATTCGTAATTCTCCTTATTGTCTGCCACACAGTTCTTGTAATGTTAGTTTTTAGAATTTCGTATTTCACAACTAATAATCCTCTGAATGATATTTTTCTTCATTCTCATCACTTGTCCACTTGGTGTTGTATTGATGTCGCAAGGAGAAATTCTGTCTTGATCACTTATGGGAGTAAGAGGGTTGAAAAAATTTAAACTGCACTTCATGAATCTTACCTGCATGGATGTTTATAAGTCTTTCTGGTCAGTGCAATGTAAGAAATTTCAATTAGATTTCTTAAGTTTTTTTGCAGGGAACTTCGCTGGTATGACAATACAAGGGGTTGTCTCAGACAACCATGCTAGGTTGAGTGAGTTGATGATGATGATGATCACTGCATGATCACGAAAACTTTTCCCCTTTTATCAAGTTTATCAGATAAATACCTAATGCAAATTCCGAAAGGCTACTTCGAACCATAACAGATACAGATAATTCGGATCAATTTTTGTTCCTGGGCAACCGAGCTCGATATGCATTTGTCGGCGTAGTCGTGTGCGGTCGCGACGTACCGATAACTCGAACTATGTTTTCGATCGATGAAAGACAAATCTGGCAAGGTTGTTAGTAATGAAGGAGAGATAGATTACCTGCCATATTTATATTTACATGTCACTTCTTGTTCTTAAGAATCTAATTAACCTAATCATTAGGCCAGAAATTATCCGCTGTAAAAACTCTTATGTAACTTCTTCCTTGTTATTATCTACTGTGCTTATTTTGAACATTTCAAACGGTTAATTGTTTAACAATTTAAATTGTTAATCTTGTGTTATAAAGACAAAGATAGATAGCGGTTATTGAAAGAGAAAAATGACAATTGCTTTGCGTTACCGCGATTAGTTCTTCGCCAGCGCAAACAGTACAGCCAAGGTTTCACATGAAACTAAAATGTTTCTCGATTAGATGTAAGTATCAATACAAGATGATATGTGTAGCTTACTCCATGGAAAACAATAGTAACTTTTCGCAAAATGGCATTGTTTCCACTGCAAACGCATATTTCATGTTCTGAGTTCAATGAAAAAAAAAATGAAAAACAACAATCTTGACCTTCAACCCGTCACTAATAGTTTGGTTTTAAAAAATTCCGGGTCCTCTGAGAATCAATTTAATAATAATAATATAATAATATACAGTATTTATAGAGCGCTAATTCCCAATGGTCCAAAAGCGCTTTACATAATAAAAATAACAAAATCCTAAACCTACAAAACTACATTGTCATTCTATAAAAATTCCCAATGGTCCAAAAGCGCTTTATATAAAAAAAATACACTTGAATATTTGTTATCAAACTGTTTGGGTTCGCAGATGTAAAACCCCCACATCCGCTTAACCTAATCATAGCTTCCACGTTTCGTTTTATTCGGGCACTACAAAGGAAACGCCCGAGTTGAAATTCCGGCTTCGTTTTTTTTTTCGTTCGGTCGCAAATCGCAGTCAAGTCCTCATCACGCATGCGCAACCTTTGACTCTGCCGCATGCGCGACGTTTTTACTCATGAACACATGGCATGGTGTAATGGCGGACAAAGAGAAGTATAAGAAAGGTAAAATATCGTACCCGTCGATATTTAACATTGTTATCTTGTAACAAGCCGATGTCTTCTTGCAAGAATGAGGCTCATGTAGCAAATTATTGTAATTATAAACTAAGCAGAGTCAAGCAAGCACAAAAAACAATTTTTTCCAGCAGGAAACCTGGGTGAACGCAAATATGCGTCTAGCTGTAAAAGTCATGGGAAGAGCAAATACTTACTCAGCCAGCAGCACGTCATACCCTTCTATTGTTGTCTGCATTCGGTCACAAATGATTTCCAGTTGTGCAAGTTGCTTGTTCAAGATGTGTGACTGGCTACAAACGGGACCTCCCACTGCTCCACCTGCAATCATTCCTTGAACGATTGTCTCTCCAGCGAAGACGGCCCCTAGAAAACCATAGCGATAAAGTCTCAATCACATGTAATAACTCATGACAAAATGAGGGCAATGTGTGAAAGAGAGATGTCGGTATGTCCAGTTTGACCCGTGAAAATTAAAAAAATAAAGAAAAGAGTCCTTATAATTTCTACTACCTAGTTAAAGGCGCCGCATCAGTTACGGTCCTAACATGTCCAGTTTGACCCGTGAAAATTAAAAAAATTAAGAAAAGAGTCCTTATAATTTCTACTACCTAGTTAAAGGCGCCGCATCAGTTACGGTCCTAACATGACGTATGAATTAGATCAGTTAAGTTACATTACGCAACCAGCTCTTCATCCTGTGGGCTCAGTCTATTTCCATGAATCAGCCTTCGTTCATCAAAGTTAAATGTACATACCTGATTGGTAAAATTTTAGTGTTAATTCACTGATTTCGTAACCGCAGAAGCGCAAGTCTTTATAGCGAATGATTCAAAGGTATGGTTGATGCAATTTGTTGATAACCTCATTGTGGGTAAGCTTCGGCGTAATACATTGTAAGTAAGAGATAGTGTAGTCCTTTCTTCTGGGTGAGTGTAATCCTGAGAAGAACGTTGTGGGTGGTGGCGACCGACAACCTGAGCGGAAGTATCATCACAGTCAAGCGAATAGTTGTTGACTGTCGAATGTTGTTAGCGCAGTTCGCATAAACTGATTGATCAGTTTTGCCGTGATGTTATCGGCAGTAAGACTCAAGTGTCGTGGGTCGATCGGGATTGGTCGGTCTCGATCCGTCGGTAAATTTATGTTCGGTTCGTTTTCACCCGGACGATCAGATTACACTATCAAGTTACCCCCTGGTTCATACCATTTATTGTAAATCGTAAATACTGGAGTTCCCTTTAACTCAAATTTCCCAATGCAAAGTAAAATTGCAGATATATACTGTCACAAGTCTACACCCAGGGACGCTGCCTAAGCTGGAGATATCCGAGGCGAAATTGTAAAGATGCACTGACTTTCCGTAAATCAATAATCCGAAATACAGCTCATATTTGGAACACGCAGGGTACAATTAGAAAGATACGTTAAAACAAGTCTACACCCAGCAATATGGACGAATTTCGTGGATACATAGCAAAAATTGCAGTAGCAATGTACTGAAAAAGGTCACGCCCGGGACGGCCCATGGTGAAGTGAATATGGGGTTTTAGGTGACTAAAAAGGACTGGACTCTAACTTGAAAAGTTTGATTTCGACTCACGTACCTAAACTGGCACCGGCTAAAAGGAAAGGAGTTCCGACAATTACGAAACCAGCAAGGGTTACACAGATGTAGTTATTTGTGAGGTAGTAATTAACATCGCGACACCATTTGTATTGGTCTTCAGGTAATCTTTGGTTTGTAAGCTGCGGAAGTGTTTGAGACGAGGGCATATTAGGAGACTGAATCTTGTGGACTGTATGTTTTTCTTCAACTCTTGAAAGGCTAAAACAATTGCATCTCTTTTGTGTGCCATACTGCGTTTGATTTCCTCATTGATTTTGTCGAGAAAGTCTTTGACAGCCTCTTCTTCTGATTTGCCCTCCTTTTCTTCTGATTTGCCCTCCTTTTCTTCTGATTTGCCCTCCTTTTCTTCTGATTTGCCCTCCTTTTCTTCTGATTTGCCCTGTAATAAGTCGTTTTCAAATTCCTTAAGAAACCGTTGGACTGCCTTGTTGGTTAAAATTTCTAGGTCTTTATCACTACTCTCGGTGTCATCAAAAGCTTTACGGGTAGTCTCCTTGTCTTTTTGCACAAAATCCAACTTTTTTCCCAGACTATTTAATTTTTCTCTCTGTGTGGCGTCGACCATATTTTTTAGCTTTGTGCAGACCTTCCTGGAATCCAAAGCGACAGATTTCGCTTGCTGAGTAAGTGACTCTACCTTTAACTTTGCTACACTCTTGGCCAGTTTGTCCTCGAACTGACGAAATTTATCCTGAAAATAAGGGGGAGTTAGAAACTCGCCTTTCTTTTAGAATTTCATTGTATAGAAGTAAAACAGCTAACTTAAACCATCGTTTAATTAGTCATTGTGACCGACAGAGGTGGTGTGTCTGGGTCGTCGAGGCGCTTTAGCTGTAATTGTAACCTCTTACGTTACCACACTGGCGAAAATACGCGCTTTTACTATTTCTTTCCAACTTGCTGTGTGAATAGGGAAACCTCAGAAAAAAGGAGAAAAATTTTAAAAGGGGTTAGAAGCTTCTAGTTTTGATTACTTCAGAACAGACCTGTATATCTTGCCTCTCCATGTGCATATTTCCTTAAATTGATAATTTAAGGAAATATGCATACACTTAAGCGAACCGAGTTGTAAGATACATGGACTCAGTACTTACATCAGGATTTCCAAAGTCTTGGACGTTCACGAAGTAAACGTCGCCTTTCTCTTGAACCGCTTCGCAGAACTCCTGTTCGTAATCATTCGCCATTTTTTCCGCATTTTTTATGGCGTGTTCTCCTTTTTCCCGCGCTTTTCTTAAGCATTCGTCCCACTTTGTGAAGACGGCAAAAGGGAATTGACAGCCAACTCTTTTCACCAGGTTAATGAGCTATGGGAACAAAAAATAAGATTTGGTTTTAAAGTAGAACAAAAGACATTGAAATGTAAGATATGTTAAGGGGCATGGCCATTTTCATGAAGGGGGTCCAACGCTGGCCTCTTACTGGCATTTAGGGGCATGTCAGGTTCTTAATTTACTGTACTAATATTTCGTTCCTTCAGGAAGAGGAGACAAGCTTACCCACCTACCACAAAACCCATTTTGTCTCAAGGGTAATGTTTTTAACTAATATAAGATAGGCGCCTTATCACGGTCATCTATTAAGTGCAGATATTTCAAACATTAATGAAAAGTACACGAAGCAAAACCTGAATCTGTGAAACGGAGATTAAAGGGACATGATACGAATTCCTCAGTAAGCAGGCCCTCTTACGATCCGACGAGTATTTAACAAATAGGGAAGCCGCGACTGTGCTCTGTTCTGTTATAAGGCACGCAGGAAGCGGCTAGAGCACTTCTTTCGTGCTCTAGCCGCTTCTTACGCTCTAGCATGTTCTATACTCTCATAAAGTACGCTACAATAAGCCAATCCTAATCCATGTTAGAATGATTCAAATAGTCTGAATGGCTGTACAAGACTGAAGCTGTCAAAAATGTCAAACCATCAAAGTTCACATTCTGCGATAGTTTTCAAACTTAAGGGCCAATGTCAACATGCATCCGACAAACGGCGGCAAGTCCCCAAAATTCGTTTTCTCTCCTACTTTCATATTTTGTAGCCCAATATGTCCTAATAATTGTGATGTATGTTTTTGGTGAAAATATATTTTAGTTTTCGAGAAATGACTTTTTTCGTTCGACCGCTCAAATATGCAAATTCTCATCATGAATTTTACCCGAGTTGTGTGACCTCATGTAACGAATTAACTTGACCTCCGGTATTTCTGTCAACATAATCCTTTGTTTTATCATCTAAACTTAATCCCCTGTCATAATTGAAGCTGGCAAATAAATTTTTATTTTTTGCTGAATATTTTTGTCCGACATACTTTTTCTATGTCGAAAAGTAGCATCAAAACAAAGACAGTAACAATGACCGATATGACAGAATCTACTGAACTTCTTGCTTTTAAAAGACAAAAGGATGGTTATAAGGTTACTGTAAAAATTTCCTTGTGTATTTGTGTTGTTCTATCGTGAGACGAACTCAAAGTCCGGCAAATTTTACTTGCTAGCTACTATGAAATGTACATGGTGTGCCTACTTGTCGCCACCGTTTATTGGCATAAATCACCACAATTTGTCAAAAAAACTAACACTCTTACCTTGTTTATTTATGATTTTATAAGACCAGTAAGCTGTTTCGGTTATTAGATTACGCAAAAAGTAATACCCAAGCGTGTCAGATTACGCTTGGGTATTACTTTTTGCCAGGAGCCCAGATTTTACGGGCTGTGACTAAAAGTGGGACGGGGACGTGGGACTGGGACGTGGGACTGGGACTCGGGGACGTAGAACTCGTGGACGTGGGACTCGGGGACGTGGGACACGGGGACGTGGGACACGGGGACGTGGGACACGGGGACGTGGGACACGGGGACGTGGGACACGGGGACGTGGGACTCGGAGACGTGGGACTCGGGGACGTGGGACTCGGGGACGTGGGACTCGGGGACGTGGGACTCGGGGACGTGGGACTCGGGGACGTGGGACTCGGGGACGTGGGACTCGGGGACGTGGGACTCGGGACTCGCGGGGATTCGGGGGCGTGATAAACAAACAACACCTGAATTTGTAAAGTATAATTTTCGGTGGTCTCGAGAAAGGTGTAATATGCTGGAGAGCTTGTCGGAGATTGACTTCCTTGAGGAAAACCTTGAAAACTGTTCTGTTAAAAACCGGTACTTCGTGGGTTATTTCGATGGAAAAAGAGGCGAGTTCGAGGATATGCTCGAGAGTTTTCTTCTTAGTAGTTCCACATGCTTTGTAAAGAAGGCCTTGCACTCAAAGGACCTAAATCACAAGAGGTTTTCGAAAAATGGTGGGCAGTTTCTTTTATTTTTAACTGAATTTTTGCTTTTATCAATTCGGTGTGGGCCTCGTAGAGACTCTATCTTTCAAAGGCAATGTTGTAAAAACTTACGCAATGAACACAATGGTGGTAATGTACCCATCCGATTTTTCGGCAAACCGTTTACCATCTAAGCAATGAAACGCGGCATTGCCTCCACACACCGACAAAGGTGAGAATTCCTTTTGAAAACAGAATTTGAAATATAATAAAACGTACCAGTAGCATTCGTTTTTTGCATAACCCGCGAAACTGTTTTAATATTTTTAGGTATTTTAGTGGAGGAATCTATCGAACTTTTCGCATACTGAGGAAGCAAAATCGGGAATGTCATTTACATCCATTTACCTCAGAATTCCCCATAAAACGTAGGGTGTATACAATTCCTGAAATTCCCGTTCGTTATTTCACGAATCATTTGACGTTTCAGTGTTGACAAATTTTTCATATTACGAAAGTAAAAAGCATTGAACTTCTCTCAACGGACTCAACGCTGCAAGGAGAATCTTTCTCATAATTTACTTTTTAAGAGACAAAGTTACCGTATAAAATTCAAACGTTACTGTTATGCTTATTGGCACATTGACAACCTAGTAAATAGCTCAAACATACTGAAAAAATTTTTATCTATTTTTGTATATCTTTATCTGTGAGCCACATGTGACTAAACTATTCTGTACCCAGAGTTCTTACGGTCAAATAAGCAAGCAAACATGTCCGGCCGAACCATGGACGCTGGAAATCATCGGCTACTACTGACAAGCTCGGGTAAAAATAATAAATAATAAAAGTAATAAATCGGGTAAAATAGCTTTCTCGAGACCACCGAAAATTATACTCTACAAATTAATTGAAGTTTACAGTGTCCTGGCGGGAGAGCAAAGCGTGATACTCTGGGAATAAAAACTCTTAGGGGCCTTTTACATAATATCGGAATGAGTTTTGTTCAAGAACGAGTTCATCCCGGTCACCACATAATAGCATGGTAAAATTATTCGAAACGAATCACCAGGCGATCAGATATGAGTGAGGATGCTTGTCGTACCTTTCAGGGGTCAAAATCAGTGATCCGGTACCTTTTACGATGTCTCAAACTTTAGTGGAGTACCAGAGACCTAGCTGGTACCTTTTACGATTTTTTCGCTCAATAAAATACCTGAAATAAGCATTACTAGGGCGATTCTAAGGATCTGACTTGAGCCTCTGGAGCATATCGATAAAGGAGTTTTTATTTTTAGGATTTTTCAATTTTTTGTGTTTAAAATGGTACTTTTTAGGGGGTACACATCAGTTGTTGCCACTCCCACACGGATAAGACTCAGGTACCTTTTATAATTTTATAGGGGTCATTTTCGAAATTCACGGCGCGCACCCTCGTCCTCTTATGTATAGGGGTTCCTCGGGGGGTGCTGATACGTGCAGCACACTTGAAATTTAGCAAGGAAAAATTTTGATGTGATCATGTTTCGGTGAAGAGAAAAAAGTTTTGTCAGCAAATCTCCTTGTTAGTATGTAAGATGAAACGCTTATACAACAGATCAATTAGCTAAATCAGTATGTAGCTTGTCAATCGAATTGACTTTTGTGAACATTCTTTGACTTCCGCCGGCAAAGGAATCATTGATGGATCTGGACATGTAGTTTTCTGAATGCAGTAATTCTTGGTAGATTTTATAGATATGCAAAGAGGGGAAAAAACCCCATCTCTTGGTAATTCGAAGGTTGATCCATCTTTGAATTTATGTGTCACGCTTGTCATGCAACTGATATAATGATGGGGAGAAGTTTTATAAACTGCAAATTAAATCTGGCTAAAATGTGGTAGAGCATAACTTGATCATCGAAACAGCTCATAAAATCGTAAATAAATGAGGTAAGAGTATTATGCTAGATTTTTTTACAAATTGTAGTGATTTATGCCAGTAAACGGTGGCGACAAATAGGCACAAGATGTATATTTCATAGTCGCTAGCATGTAAATTTTGCCGGACTTTGAGTTCATCTCACGTTAGAACGACACAAATACACAATGAAATTTTTACAGTAACTTAATAACCATCATTTTGTCTTTTAAAAGCTAGAAGCTCAGTAGATTCTGTCATATTGGTCATTGTTAAAACTGTCTTTGTTTCGATGCTACTTTTCGACATAGAAAAAGCATGTGGGACAAAAATATTCACCAAAAAATAAAAATTTATTTGCCAGCTTCAATAATGACAGGGGATTACAAAGGATTATGTTGACAGAAATATCGGAGGTCAAGTAAATTCGTTACATGAGGTCACACAACTCGGGTAATATTCACGGTGAAAATTTGCATATTTGAGCGGTCGAACGAAAAAAATCATTTCTCGAAAACTAAAATATATTTTCACAAAAAAACTACACCACAATTATTAGGACATATTGGGCTACAAAATAAAAAAGTAGGAGAGAAAACGAATTTTGGGCGACTTGCCACAATATTTCAAATTTGTTCGATGGATGCTGACATCCTCTCTTAAATTGTTCGGCAGGTCGAATTTAACACTTTTGCCTGAAGTTTTTTAGTCTCCAACACAGAATCTTAAAGTGAAATATTTAGCGAACTCCATAAAAACACGCTTTTTTTCGCATGAAAAGTAGAAAACAACCTGTTCAGGGCAAGTGTTTTATGAATGAACGACAGCCAAATTCACCGGAACATGAAGATCGCTCTGGATGACAGCGCTGTAAAACTCGGTTGCAGTGACTGGTGTGGCCTTCCACCCAACGCATCGGAAAGGATATCCGAGAAGGCTCTTATTGTTTTACTCTAAGGGCGGCCGATGTAGTTTCTGATGCTTGCTACACTGCGATGACCGGAAATCGCTATGATGAGCGTGCCGTGCTGGACCTCAGCATGATCGCAGTCGCTCTGACACCGTCATGATTAGTATGAATTTTAACAGTTATGCCAGTTTGGTTATATTTTTTGAAAATTCCTGTTTTGTTCTGTTTTGTTCTTGAACACGAAACTATATATGAGTGTTAGCTGTGTTTAATTTTTATTACAGTACGTAAGCTTACAATCTAACTGAGTGTGGAAACCTTTAAAGCTTTTTCTTAACGAACACCATTTACAAAGCCGGATCAAAAGGCACCAAGCATTATAGATTTTCAGTATAGATTTTTTAAATGCATGAATTACTTTACGCGGCCAGATATTAAAAAAGACCCGCTGTATAAATGATCAGGCTTAGAAATGAAATGGTTACCAATTGCGCATGCTTTCGGCAGATAAAAATGTCCCACATTTTCCTTTGAACGTACACCGTACTTATCACTCTTCCGCCTTTTACTAATAAAGACGCAGTGAACGATCTCGCACCAACCAAACGTCTCCCGCCACTTGAGCGGCAAAATGCCCTTTGAGGTGCTAAGCATCTAGTGGCTTTGACTTTAAAGGGAACTTCGACAGAAACAAGAGTCAGAGTGATTTACAGACCTCATAACGTTCTTTCTGTTGTAGAAAAATTGTGCAGGTAGATTTTTTCCAATGAAAATCAAATCCTAAACAGGTAATAATAGAACCAAAATGTTTGTTGAGTAAGACAAAGAAAGAGATGAATATATAGCGGACGGTTTCAAAATCGAGCGCTACTCCAGGATGCAACACACCCACGTAATGTGTGATTTTTTTTCTCTAGCATAAAGAATCATTTTCCAAGCTATTATTTCGTAGCTCCACCTTGACAAGTTAATGAGCTAAAGCAATATTCCCTGAAGAGGAATGCGCGCGTAATCTTTGACCACTCAGAGCTCACCAGAATATGTTTCTCCGTTATACGGATCTATGCTTTTTTTTTTTTGCAACTGCAAGTAAATGTTTCGAGAACAATAGGCATTCTGTGCGATATTTTCTTTTTGAGGATTTTCGTCTCTGCTCATGTTTTAATAACGTAAATTACGGCGCCTGGTATGTTTACAAATCTTTGTTTGGTTCTTCTGTTGCTACTTGCCGGCTCAATTGTTCCGAAATTTCACTTTCAACTATCGAAAAAAAGTTAGAGAGAAGTCCCAGAAAAGGTATGACATAGTACAATTTGGCAGATGGTGTGACAGCATTAGCTCAGCTCTATGCTCTATACTCTTATAGAGCACGCTCTTTCAACCAATGACAGCGCGCGTTATATCCGAACTTTTTTTTATAAACTTTATTCGTTGATGCAAAGACTAAAGTAAACAATGTTGCGCTATTATAACTGTTACGGTGACTTTACTAATATAAGTGTAAGTTTTAACCGAACTCAAGAGAAATACATTCTGTAAACATTGGAAACGAGCATTTTACTCACTCTCCCTGATGACGGTGACATGGAATCCATAACGGCTACAATTATGTCTGCTTTTTCGCCCCTCTGAGTGGTGAGTTCATCGTCTTCATCATTCTCTCCTAAGCCGGGTGTGTCACACAAGACAACGTTTCGTGGTAACGTTTTGCATTGGTTCAGAGGCCAATTGACTCGTACAATGGTGCATCGATCGATTCCTTTCTCTTCCCGTCGCTGTTCATTTTTTCGACCACTCATTTTATTCAAAAGATTGCTTACAGTCTTGTCGTCAGTTCCCACTGAGAGAATCTCTTTGCTTCCATCTTCGCCAATTATTTCAATGCTCCACTCGCTTTTCTTGGTGCAGCAAACTATAGTAAAACACATGGTTGTTCGCATGAATCCAATAGGCAGACGACTTTTGCGGAGTAGGGCGTTTATGAGAGATGATTTGCCACTGCTGGTTTTTCCGACAAATTGAATGACTATATCTTTCGAGGTTTCCTTTTCACGAACATTCTTTAAATCAGTCGTTACTTTGGTGAGGGTTTGGGATAATTGGCTTAATTCATCATATTCCTTAAACGTTGCTCCCTCTTTATAGAGGATCTCCTCGTACTTCTTCAAAATATTAGTAATCTTTTCTGTATCTTCTTGCAGTGGTTTTGTCAACTTTTTCACTTCTTCAGTAAGTTCTGTGAACTTTTCCCCCAGATACTCCATGACTGGTGAGAATCCAATTAATGCTTTACCTCTAGTGATGCAACGAAGGTATAAAGTTTACGTCTGAAAATAGATTAAAAGAATACCGTGAAAATTGATTTTTTTTCCTTAGAGGCGACACTTCCTTTTGTTTATGCATGGAAAATGTAGTCAAGAAAGCCTGAAGTTTCAAATAGTTCCCAGCACCTTTAAAATATTCAGGAATTAAGCCTGTTAGAGGAAAAGCATTCACTTGCAAACAGGTGAGTAAGGTGGTTGTGTCTCATCCGCAAAACGAAAGTGTAAGAAAATACAATTAATAAGTCCTAAAGGCTTCCTTGCCCAAGATAACAGACTGGGCACGACACATTGTTTATAATATTCTGAAAGGTGTAGCGCTAGTTTTTAAAGCTTTGATGAACAATTGATATTTTTTCTTTTTTAGAATGATAGAGTTTAAAACAGAGCTATCTCAATAGTTTCATGTAGGATACGCTCGTTTGCTATATTGGTGGTCACGTCGGTGGAGCTCGTTGTTTGCAATGTCCATCGACGAGTAATTTAATATCTAATTTCCTCATCTGAGCTGTACATGGAGGTCTTTTAGTCTTTCCGACGTTGCAATTCTTTTGGAATCCTTTTGCTACCGTGAACAAGCTGTTCTTAATTTCAAAACACCTCCCATGGTCGCAAAGGCCTCGAGATCTGTATTTTGTAATTACACTGATGATAAAGTGAACGTTTTTATGGGCCACGACTTGGCCGAAACAACTCAAAACATTTCTTTTTAGGGAAGTGTTCAGCACTAGTTTATAATACTCAGTGTAATGTAAAGCGCTTTTGAATGTCTGCATAGTTTTACCGCTATGTAAATCTATTTTTGTTATTACTCTGTTTGCTTTCTACTTTCGTCAAATATTTCAAGACTTTTTGCATAACTAAATGTTTGCGCGCCTCGTGAGGCAAATTTCACGTTCTTTCCTGCGGAAAGCAACGGCACTTTGGTAGCGTTTCCAATTCTGCGACTCGTTACTCCAGCATTATTTCAGAGGCCAAAGGGTCGTCTATTGCTTATTTTGCTTAGTTAAGGAGTCAAATGATGTTTCCCTAATCGGAAGGTTTCATGTTTCGTCAATTATCTTGCTCGATCCCTTTTTTGGAATTGCCATATATCAGTTCCTTACCTCAGGTTTGGCAATCGTCGGATTGAGCGATGGCACGCCGAAGTAAAATGAGTATCTTTCTGATTTGGTGTTGGTAACTTTGAGGTTTTTCAAAGTGTTTATGTAGATTAATCAATCTTGACGGCGTCAACCTTGCTCTTGACCAAGTGTTCCTTATGGTAACGTGATCTCAGCGTATGTTTCATTTTGCTGAATTCAGTGGTTGACAAACGGAATTTTTTATGGATCAGGGCTTAATCAATTCAGTGGGAATGAAAACTCCAAACACTGAGGTACTTATTTGAAAATAGACGAAGATGCTTTAGGGTTGTTTTCTTTTCTGAAGTTTTAATTAAAGGTTTTGTGTTAACGAAAAAGGGATCTGAATTGAAAGGCGGCCTTTGTCATGCAATTACGTGTTTTGAGTCACCATAGAAGCGTATTCACCTCCCTCTTGGCTTTTAAACATTATATGGCACAAAGCATCATATTTGAGCCGAATATAATAAATTTATCATGATGAATCATTTTTGTGTGACAAATATGACACGGCGAATATCATCCAATTTGTACACGCATATCACACCAGGTTAAAAAGGGACAAATTTATAGTTTTCTCTCTTTTTCTGTTTCAACTTTATGCTAGGGTGGTGCACCGCTTTTGTTCAGTTATTACGTCGACTTTTACTAACGCCAAAACGAAATTAGCGCCTTTTAAAATTAAACATAGAAGACCACTGATACCAAAGGGAGTGTTGATATTGATATTATTTCTATTGATGGTATTTGGTTGGGTGATGTTTCTAATGAAGTTCTATACTACAAAGATTCAAGACAGCGTACCAGTAGAGCAAACATTCAGAAATTGGTCAATATGCGGTCAATAAGTGAAAGTGGATGGCTATCAGCAATAGCGTTCTGCATTTGTGCAGAGCACCGTTCAAGCCAGAGATACGCGATGCAGTCACCTTGTGGTAGGCATAGGAATCAGTCTGACTGCATCCTTCAAAGAAACAATTATTGAAGTGCATCAAGAAAACTGAACCTCTGAGAGCCAATGAATTATGTATCTCTGAGGCAGTATGATGAGGTGGAGAAGGGACTTCGCAACTTCCACTCAAGGAGGGCCTACATTGCAATAAAAAGTTTATAAGCATTATACAAGTCGGAGATAGGCGATGTAGTCACCCTGTGGTAAGCAAAGGAATTAGTCTGACTGCATCCTTAAAAGAGGCAACGATTGAGGTGCATCATCTATGCAGAAGCATATTCTAGAATCGAGTGCCAGTCTCTGAATCGTTTTGGACTAATTTAAAATTTTTAAGAATGATAGATTTAACTGCGTGGTTGCGAGGGTGAAATGTAAGAGTAAATGGAATGCGGTCAGTGTTCTCCTTCTCGGTCGTTTGTAGTGCTGCCTGTCGATCGATTTGTTGGGCACGATGGTAGCCCGCTTGAACGACAGAAACAGGATAGCCGCGTTTATCGAAAAACTGGCACATTGCCTCTGATTTTTCGGAAAAATCAGAGTCGTCACTGCATAAACGACGAAGTCTGAGAAACTGTGAAAAAGGTATGGAGTTCTTGACGTGTGATGGATGTGAGGATGAATACAACAAGTAACTATGTGAATCTGTAGGTTTGTAGTAAACACTAGTACATAAGCCGTTGCCTTCAATTGAAATTTTGATGTCTAGAAAAGCCAAAGAAGTGTCGGAAATTTCCCAGGTATATTTAAGAGTCGGATGAAAGGAATTGACGGCGGTTATAAATTGAGTGAGCTCCTCCTTGGTAGAGGAGATAGCGCCGATGCAATCGTCAGTGTAGCGGCCGTAGAGTTGAGGTTTTGGGCCGTGGTATTGGCTAAAAAATTGATGTTCGATAAAACCTACAAAAAGATTGGCGTAGCTGGGTCCCATTTTAGTACCCATAGCCACGCCATTAGTTTGTTTGTAGTAGTTGCCACCGAATGAAAAGCAATTGAGTGTGAGTACTAGTTCAGCCAGACGGAGTAGTGTTTCAGAGCTAGGTTCCTTAACAGTGCGTAGATCAAAAAAATGTTTGAGGGCTCGGAGACCTTCGTCATTGGGAATGACAGTGTAAAGAGATGTTATATCCATGGTGAAAATAAGTTTGTTTTGGTCGAGGAAACTAAAGTCACGAAAAATTTCAAGTGCGTGTTGGCTGTCCTTAATGTAAGACGGTAGAGTTTTGACGATAGGTGCCATAATTTTGTCTAAATAGCTGGAAATAAGTTCAGTGGGACAACTGCTGGCAGAAACGATGGGTCGACCTGGGTTGTTAGGTTTGTGGATTTTAGGTAAAAAGTAAATACACGAAGTTCTAGGAGTAGTAATGATGAGATTTTTAGCAGTGGCCGGCAATTCTTGTTTAGCTATAAGATCGTTAATCGTATTTTTGACAATGTTTTGGTTAATTAAAGTGAGGTCTTTGTCGACTTTGGCATAAAATGAGGTGTCAGAAAGTTGCAGCAAAGCTTCTTTTTGATAGAGGTCGGCCCGCCAAACAACAACTGCGCCGCCTTTGTCGGCCGCCTTAATGACAATGTCTTTGCGTTTTTTAGACTTTTTAGTGCCGACCACTCTTCCGAAGAAAGATTGGAAAATTTGGTGTTACGATTGAATTTAAGTTAAAAAGTTAAAAGTTAAAGTCTAAAAAAACGCAAAGACATTGTCATTAAGGCGGCCGACAAAAGCGGCGCAGTTGTTGTTTGGCATCCATACCCACATAAGAGGTAGGCGAGGGAACACTGAGATTTTACAGAAAAAAGTCAATTCATGCTAACAAAGAGTAGCACTAAACAGTTCCCTGTGTTGAATTACGTCATTCGCCAGATCGTTCGGAGTGCATTGTACTGTCTAAAATAAAGAAAAGAAAAGATAGTTTTAACATAACGTCTTCTTCGACTTTTACAGCAATAATTGTGTCAGGCCCTATTTTTTGACCTCGCGTACCCGTGACGAGCATTCCTTTGAGATAACTGTATATGAAACGTTTACGTGCTGAAATATTGTTCTGGTTGCCAGACGACAGTAGATGGATCGATAAATACAAAGCAATGTTATGATATTTTTGCTCAATTAGACAAAGTAGAAAGACCTTTAGAATAAGAAAATAATAATCTTAAAATATACCTGCTTGAGAGATATATATCTCCGGATCAATTTCACTGACCATATTCTCTTGGGCCTTCAGCAAACTAGATTTAAAAGATAATATTATAAATGGCTTTTCCTTTGATTAAGAACAAAAACCAAAGTTGTACTTTTAATCAAACTATTTAAGTCGGCAGATATAAATCCCTCATATTCGCGAAACCCTATGATGATTTCCATGATTTTCTTTATAAGAATTGTGAGGAGAGAATATACTTACGCAGCCAGCAGCATGTCGAACTCTTCTGTTGTTGTCTGTACTCGGTCACAAATGTTTCTCAGTTGTGCAGCTAGCTGGTTCAAGATGTGTGACTTGTCACGAAGCCCTTCGATCTCGTCTGACTTCTTAAGTGCGACGCTTTCCAATGTCTTCATGTTATTCGTTAGAGCGGCCTCCTCTCTCCCACTTAACTGCTTTTTGCAGTCTCGGCGGAGCTCTCTTACTTGATCTGCGAGGAGACTTTTCCAGCAATCTACTTTGTATTGGCTTATCGGGAATATTTCCTTAAACGGTCTCCCAAACTAAAGACACGAATCACTGCTCCAGCAGAACTTCCCACGCCAGCTGCCACTGCTCCACCAGCAAAAAGCACTCCAAAAGTGCCTACGAGAGCCCCAAGAAAACCAAAGCGAGAAAGTCTTAATCATGTCTGAGAACTTAAAACAAGATGCTTCGGCTATA